TTAGCATGTGATGCTACAGTACATGTTAGCATGTGATGCTACTGTACATGTTAGCATGTGATGCTACTGGACATGTTAGCATGTGATGCTACAGTACATGTTAGCATGTGATGCTACTGTACATGTTAGCATGTGATGCTACTGGACATGTTAGCATGTGATGCTACTGGACATGTTAGCATGTGATGCTACTGGACATGTTAGCATGTGATGCTACTGGACATGTTAGCATGTGATGCTACTGTACATGTTAGCATGTGATGCTACTGTACATGTTAGCATGTGATGCTACTGTACATGTTAGCATGTGATGCTACTGTACATGTTAGCATGTGATGCTACAGTACATGTTAGCATGTGATGCTACAGTACATGTTAGCATGTGATGCTACTGGACATGTTAGCATGTGATGCTACTGTACATGTTAGCATGTGATGCTACTGTACATGTTAGCATGTGATGCTACTGTACATGTTAGCATGTGATGCTACTGGACATGTTAGCATGTGATGCTACTGTACATGTTAGCATGTGATGCTACTGTACATGTTAGCATGTGATGCTACTGGACATGTTAGCATGTGATGCTACAGTACATGTTAGCATCCTGAGGCCCTGAGCTCAGAGTAAAGTGACAGAGACACATGTGGTTCCATGTTGCATATTCTGACAAGATTTTAATAATTATATCAATGATTCTACTTTACACTTTTTACTACTACTAACATTTTGTATTATTTATCGAGGGCAGCTGTCTGACCTGTCGCAGCAGATTAATAAAATCTCCTCCTGGTTCATGAACAGCCGCTCAGTCTGAGGAGCAAAGGAAGGTTTCTCACCCTTCACAGAGGACAGGTGAGAAACCTTCATCAGTACTGTACAGAGGACAGGTGAGAAACCTTTCATCAGTACTGTACAGAGGACAGGTGAGAACCTTCAGTACTGTACAGAGAAGGTGAGAAACCTTCATCAGTACTGTACAGAGGACAGGTGAGAAACCTTCATCAGTACTGTACAGAGGACAGGTGAGAAACCTTCATCAGTACTGTACAGAGGACAGGTGAGAAACCTTCATCAGTACTGTACAGAGGACAGGTGAGAAACCTTCATCAGTACTGTACAGAGGACAGGTGAGAAACCTTCATCAGTACTGTACAGAGGACAGGTGAGAAACCTTCATCAGTACTGTACAGAGGACAGGTGAGAAACCTTCATCAGTACTGTACAGAGGACAGGTGAGAAACCTTCATCAGTACTGTACAGAGGACAGGTGAGAAACCTTCATCAGTACTGTACAGAGGACAGGTGAGAAACCTTCATCAGTACTGTACAGAGGACAGGTGAGAAACCTTCCTTTGCTTTGACTAATCCCTGAACGACTGAGGCTTACACAAACTTTACTCTGAGGACACAGGATGTTGTCATTTAAAGCTGCAGTAACTGACTTTATTTTCGTATTCATTACAAAAGTGCTATCCATGTCCATGCAGTGCTTTGGGATAAACGTTCTTTTGAAGAAAAAGTATCGCAGATTTGTGCTGGCGTGACATTATATTTTAGATCAAGTTTTGATGAAACAAGGAAGAGAATGTGTTCCGGGTCGCGGATTGTGACCAATCACAGCGGACCACTGGCCCCCACTTTTGTGAGAAATCTACAGGTCCGTTAGCATAGACGGCTGAGTTAGCACAACAAGCTGCGGAGCTAACCTGAAACTTCCTCGTCTTCGTCACGGTTACTGCTTACACAGAGAGACAGCCATCCAAAAGAAAGTCCTGTTCCTCCGCGCTTCCCGGTTCTATCGTTCTATGGTCACACCATCCACGTACAAATCCATATCCATGTATTATCCATATTGGGAGACGCTAGCTCCGTCCCAACAGTGGGTGTGTGTGTGGGGGGCGATAGCTTCGTGGGTGCGGGGAGGGGAGCAGAAAGAGCGAGGCCAGTGAGTCTGCTGCTTCAAAATCCCAAAGTCAGTTAGTGCAGCTTTAAGGTAGTATTTTTCCTGCATTTTGTCCTTTCTTAGAATTTTAAGTTCAGTTCAATATAATATATTTGTGTATCGTCCTAAATCACAGCAGCAGTCGTCTCGGAGACTTTACAAAGTTGTGGATTCACCAACATCAGATTAGAGAATCAAGGAACACAGGAAATGCAATGATAACAAAGACACAGACATTGGTCCTTAAGAAGAGACGCCCGCAGCCTCCAGCATCAGAGGATTTACTTTTGTCGTTTCATTTCACAATAAATCAAATAAATAAATATAAATTAAAACATTTTTCCAGGTTTTCAGTTTTTCCTAAAATTTGATATTTTCCCAGAGTCAGAACAAAAACCACAGCAGGACAAATCACTATAATGTTTTTATCATTTCTAACGCTTCCATCAACAGCACTTTTCAATACTTTCAATACAATACTTTCAATACAATACTTTCAATACAATACTCTGAGGACTTTACACAGCTGCCGAGACAGAGACCAACGTCCTCAGGAGCTAAACCCCAGCAGGTGGATTGCATCAGTGCTCAGGAGCTAAACCCCAGTAGGTGGACTGCATCAGTGCTCAGGAGCTAAACCCCAGCAGGTGGATTGCATCAGTGCTCAGGAGCTAAACCCCAGCAGGTGGATTGCATCAGTGCTCAGGAGCTAAACCCCAGCAGGTGGATTGCATCAGTGCTCAGGAGCTACATGTGTCACAGGCAGAAGGTTCTGTAAAAGTCTGATTGTGACGAGTTTATTAGAGATAATAAAGAAGCTAGTATAAAATCTCTAACTTTAGCATAATAAAGAAGCTAGTATAAAATCTCTAACTTTAGCATAATAAAGAAGCTTGTATAAAATCTCTAACTTTAGCATAATAAAGAAGCTAGTATAAAATTTCTAGCTTTAGCATAATAAAGAAGCTAGTATAGAATCTCTAGCTTTAGCATAATAAAGAAGCTAGTATAAAATCTCTAACTTTAGCATAATAAAGAAGCTAGTATAGCATCTCTAACTTTAGCATAATAAAGAAGCTAGTATAAAATCTCTAACTTTAGCATAATAAAGAAGCTAGTATAAAATCTCTAGCTTTAGCATAATAAAGAAGCTAGTATAGAATCTCTATCTTTAGCATAATAAAGAAGCTAGTATAAAATCTCTAACTTTAGCATAATAAAGAAGCTAGTATAGAATCTCTAACTTTAGCATAATAAAGAAGCTAGTATAGAATCTCTAACTTTAGCATAATAAAGAAGCTAGTATAGAGGGATCCTACGGTCACGTGACTAGCAGCCACGGCAGCCATACTGGAGGACAACCTCGGCGAGTAACAGCCCTGCTAGCTATCTATAACTGGACGTTCAAAACTAGAACTCTCTCGAACTACATGAAAACTGAACAGAGAATTTGAAACTTCTGCAGTTAGTGACCCAAATATATACTCAACCTAAATTCATGAATCAGATCCTCTGAAAATGCATCCTAAAATGTATTCGTTACATCCAGGTTTACCGCGGTCGCATATTGTCGCATTAAAACAGTGTTTTTTCATGAAAACGTGAACAGAAAAATCTGAAAACCTCTGTGCACGTGTATTAAGAATGTATATGCATAATGTATTCTCCGATTAACATTTAATGTGTTTATTGTTACACCATGGATCTATGTGTGGCTACACTGCAGTGGAAATAATGAGATTACATTCAAATCAATGGAGCTTTCTGCGTCTACTGTGAGGAGCCGTATATTTTATTAATAAATACTAGTACGGTGCACCCTGGAGCACGGCTCAGTCGTTCACATGTCTGCTGGCCTTCGGTAAGTCAGATACCCTGTGAACCGGGTGAGGTCCTGTGTGAGACCAAATATATAACAGCTATGCTACAAGCTAAGCTACAGTCTATGGAGCAACCCCAAGTTGCAGTCAGACAGATATGTTTTATCCTTAAACTTCTGTTTGTTTCGGAATAACACTAAATCCGCCATCAAATCGATTTCACTTAGCAGAAATGAAATGATCCATATTCGGGCGCTCTGGGGGCTATTAGTTTTTTGTTGTTGCGTATGGTTGTGCCATTTCTCTCTCGTTTCTTTGAGATGTCTTCTGTTTTTGAGCCGTGTGAAGTAAGGACGGCTGGCAGTCGGTAACACAACTTATTTTCCCTGTCTCTCCTTTTGCTGCAGCCAAAAACGGCAAAAATGTTGAACATGTTTATGCGGTCCCGGGTGCACGCCACTATCATACAGCGTTTGCTTGTCCTCCAGTATGGCGGATGCCCCGCGAGTTCGAGGCATCGTGACGTCACGTGAGATATCTCTATAGAATCTCTAACTTTAGCATAATAAAGAAGCTAGTATAGAATCTCTAGCTTTAGCATAATAAAGAAGCTAGTATAAAATCTCTAACTTTAGCATAATAAAGAAGCTAGTATAGAATCTCTAACTTTAGCATAATAACGTCCTTAAATGTGGTCCTGGATCAACACTGTCCTCAGACTCTTTCCAATAAGATCTAAAAACCTCCTGCTGCTGTAATAACACATCTACATCACACATTCTAATCCACTCTCTCCCTCCCCCCTCCTCCCTCCCCCCTCCCCCCTCCCTCCCCCCTCCTCCCCCCCGTTATAATGTGGCCCCCCCAGCTTCTGTTTGCACCACAAACACAGCGTTCAGCAGGTTAGAGACCCTCTGATGAATTATTCAGCCACTCTCATCACCGCGGCCGAGGCTGGAGTCAGCGGCTCGCACGGATCAGTCGATTAACCTGTTTTCACAGCGCTGCGCCTCACCCCCTCCCCCACCACACCCCCCCCCTCACCCACCACACCCCCTCCCTCACCCACCACACCCCCCCCCCCCACTGGACCTCCCCTCCCCCCTCTCTCCCTCTGATAAGTGCCTGACAGCAGCTATCAAAGCAGCCCGTAATGATCCCGCACCTGTCGCGCCGATGTTACTAATGAAGAAATATGTGAGGAGAGAGAGAAGTGCTCAGATTAGAGTTTTACCTGTTTGTGCATCTCTATGTTCAGGCCGTAGGACATCTCGTAATACTGAAAGCAGACACAGTTTTTAGGAAGGTTGTTGGTTCGAGGCCCTGTTGCTTCAGCTCTGACAGCAGAAGCCATTGTTGTGTCTCACCATGACGTAGTGGCGCTGCATCTCCGTCTTCTCATTGGCCAGTTTGTCATACTCCACCTTAAGACTGAAACACAAACATACTCCACCTTAAGACTGAAATACAAACATACTCCACCTTAAGACTGAAGCACAAACATACTCCACCTTAAGACTGAAGCGCAAACATACTCCACCTTAAGACTGAAACACAAACATTCTCCACCTTAAGACTGAAACACAAACATACTCCACCTTAAGACTGAAACACAAACATTCTCCACCTTAAGACTGAAACACAAGTCATACTCCACCTTAAGACTGAAGCACAAACATACTCCACCTTAAGACTGAAGCGCAAACATACTCCACCTTAAGACTGAAACACAAACATACTCCACCTTAAGACTGAAACACAAGTCATACTCCACCTTAAGACTGAAACACAAACATACTCCACCTTAAGACTGAAGCACAAACATACTCCACCTTAAGACTGAAACACAAACATACTCCACCTTAAGACTGAAGCACAAACATACTCCACCTTAAGACTGAAATACAAACATACTCCACCTTAAGACTGAAATACAAACATACTCCACCTTAAGACTGAAGCACAAACATACTCCACCTTAAGACTGAAACACAAACATACTCCACCTTAAGACTGAAATACAAACATACTCCACCTTAAGACTGAAACACAAACATACTCCACCTTAAGACTGAAACACAAACATACTCCACCTTAAGACTGAAACACAAACATACTCCACCTTAAGACTGAAACACAAACATTCTCCACCTTAAGACTGAAACACAAACATTCTCCACCTTAAGACTGAAACACAAGTCATACCCACCTTAAGACTGAAACACAAACATACTCCACCTTAAGACTGAAGCACAAACATACTCCACCTTAAGACTGAAGCACAAACATACTCCACCTTAAGACTGAAACACAAGTCATACTCCACCTTAAGACTGAAACACAAACATACTCCACCTTAAGACTGAAGCACAAACATACTCCACCTTAAGACTGAAATACAAACATACTCCACCTTAAGACTGAAGCACAAACATACTCCACCTTAAGACTGAAACACAAACATACTCCACCTTAAGACTGAAATAGAAACATACTCCACCTTAAGACTGAAATACAAACATACTCCACCTTAAGACTGAAACACAAACATACTCCACCTTAAGACTGAAACACAAACATACTCCACCTTAAGACTGAAACACAAGTCATACTCCACCTTAAGACTGAAACACAAACATACTCCACCTTAAGACTGAAGCACAAACATACTCCACCTTAAGACTGAAACACAAACATACTCCACCTTAAGACTGAAGCACAAACATACTCCACCTTAAGACTGAAATACAAACATACTCCACCTTAAGACTGAAATACAAACATACTCCACCTTAAGACTGAAGCACAAACATACTCCACCTTAAGACTGAAACACAAACATACTCCACCTTAAGACTGAAATACAAACATACTCCACCTTAAGACTGAAACACAAACATACTCCACCTTAAGACTGAAACACAAACATACTCCACCTTAAGACTGAAACACAAACATTCTCCACCTTAAGACTGAAACACAAACATTCTCCACCTTAAGACTGAAACACAAGTCATACTCCACCTTAAGACTGAAACACAAACATACTCCACCTTAAGACTGAAGCACAAACATACTCCACCTTAAGACTGAAGCACAAACATACTCCACCTTAAGACTGAAACACAAGTCATACTCCACCTTAAGACTGAAACACAAACATACTCCACCTTAAGACTGAAGCACAAACATACTCCACCTTAAGACTGAAATACAAACATACTCCACCTTAAGACTGAAGCACAAACATACTCCACCTTAAGACTGAAACACAAACATACTCCACCTTAAGACTGAAATAGAAACATACTCCACCTTAAGACTGAAATACAAACATACTCCACCTTAAGACTGAAACACAAACATACTCCACCTTAAGACTGAAACACAAACATACTCCACCTTAAGACTGAAACACAAACATTCTCCACCTTAAGACTGAAACACAAGTCATACTCCACCTTAAGACTGAAGCACAAACATACTCCACCTTAAAGGAATAGTTCACCGTTTTTACATACTGACATATGTTCTTACCTTACCTTAGACTAGTTAATACGTACCTGTCTGGTCTTAGTCCATGCGCTCTGTCATGCAAACGGAGCAAAAACGGGAGCACAACCGCAGCCTCCTCTGTATATTTTGTAGCACCAAAAGGTAGCTCCCGCTAGAAGCTACCAAACTCTTCCAAGTGTTCCCTATTAAATGTATATAGTTACGTGACGTGTTACACTGCAAAGTATAGTAACACAGAAATGTAACAGTCGATTTTCTCAGCGGATAAAACGGGTACTATATTGTGAGGCGTAGTAATATGAGGTGCGCTACGTCCGCGCACTAACTTCTCTCCGTACTACAAGTCACGCTGCTTCTATTGACGGAAGTGAGCGAGAGAGAAGTCTCCGGAGAGAAGTTAGTGCGCGGACGTAGCGCACCTCAGATTACTACGCCTCACAATATAGTACCCGTTTTATCCGCTGAGAAAATCGACAGTTACATTTCTGTGTTACTATACTTTGCAGTGTAACACGTCACGTAACTATATACATTTAATAGGGAACACTTGGAAGAGTTTGGTAGCTTCTAGCGGGAGCTACCTTTTGGTGCTACACAGTGACCAGAGGAGGCTGCATTTGTCCTCCCGTTTTTGCTCCGTTTGCATAACAGAGCGCACGGACTAAGATCACACAGGTACGTATTAACTAGTCTAAGGTAAGGTAAGAACATATGTCAGTATGTAAAAACTGTGAACTATTCCTTTAAGACGGAAACACAAACATTCTCCACCTTAAGACTGAAACACAAGTCATACTCCACCTTAAGACTGAAGCACAAACATACTCCACCTTAAGACTGAAACACAAACATACTCCACCTTAAGACTGAAGCACAAACATACTCCACCTTAAGACTGAAGCACAAACATTCTCCACCTTAAGACTGAAATAGAAACATACTCCACCTTAAGACTGAAACACAAGGTATCATTTTCAGGTGTCTCTGAGTCACTAGCACTGGCCAAGGAAATACACTAGCACTGGACCAGGAAAGACACTAGCACTGGACCAGGAAAGACACTAGCACTGGACCAGGAAAGACACTAGCACTGGACCAGGAAAGACACTAGCACTGGACCAGGAAAGACACTAGCACTGGACCAGGAAAGACACTAGCACTGGACCAGGAAAGACACTAGCACTGGACCATGAAAGACACTAGCACTGGACCATGAAAGACACTAGCACTGGACCAGGAAAGACACAACATACCATCAACACACCTTCTAGACACCCTTAACAAACCATCAACACACACTCAACACACCATCAACACACCACACACCCTCAACACTGAACCTCCTCAGGTCACGTGATGACAGTGGTTATTATTATCATCATCATCATTATTATCCATATTATTATTATTATTATTATTATTACCTGTGGTACTGCGCCTGCAGGAACTGGAACTCGTCCTTAATCCTGTCGCATGACTCCGCTACAGTGAACTTGAAGCCGGGCTGCCCAGGCTGATGAGGAGCCTGGAAGTCATTCAGTGTTTAATACATTTATACATTATTATTATTATTATCATCTGTGACGTATCAGCTCTCAGCCAATCAGAGCAGAGAATGGTACACAAGTATAGTGTGACTGTAACACACCATAAACCTGTGCCCTGGTGCCCGGGGGTATTATAAGACTGTAACACACTTCTTACCGGATGTCGGCCTTGTGGGTACATCTTGAAGTCTATAAAACGCTGTGAACGTCGTCAGCGCCGCGTGCGTGCGACTCCAAGTAGAAAAAAGTGTTGTTCGTGGTTTAGTTTGGCACTAAACCTGAAACAAAGGTCTGTGTGTCTCCTCTGCCTCTGTTTACCTCTGTCTGTTTACATGACGCGGGCAGCCATCTGCAAACACAAAGGGCCGAAGCTTCACTTCTGCTCGTGATGTTCTGCAACAACAGAACCGCGGGTTTCCGCCGCCATCAGCTCCAGCCGCCGTCAGACTCTGCGGAGACAGAGACGCGGCGCACGAAGGCGCACACGCTCAGAGCAGCGGCCATTCGTCCGCGGGAGAGAGCTCCGTGTGTCCGCGGGAGAGAGCTCCGTGTGTCTGTAGAAGAACTCACGATCCCAGCTCAGATACTGGCTAAATCCATCCACTGTTCACGGTGATCTTCAGCCGAAACCTCCACAAAACACGCTCCGGAGGCGGCTGCGCGCTGAGCTCCTGTCGGTATAATCCAGAGAATGGCGGATCAAAGGGAAAGCTCCAGAATGTGTGGCTCTGAAGCTGTCGGTGCTACACGGCTCCACAGCTCTCCGCAGCTCCTTCCCCAGTGTCCAGCCCTGCCACACACAGACAGCAGAACTGCCTTGAAAGCACCTATCTGTCCAATCGGATTATAGGAAAGCATAGGGCACATCTGCCTATCGGAGCACAGGGCCCACGTGGGGTGCAGCGGTGTATGACATCATCTGCTGGAGACACGCATCATCTGTCCACAGCGGCTGCTGTGCGTGCGTCTCAACTACGACAGTAGCTCTCAATAAAACCTCTCTCTGGAACTCACTAATGTCTAACTAACTCTTATCTCTAACGTCTAAGGTCTAACATTCATTTAGCATCAGAGCTGAGCTCTGCCCGGTCCACTTCCGCCTCTGTGCTGAACAAAGACTGCGCTGCGCAGTTCGTTGCGCAGTTCTTTGGTTAAAGCAGTGTTCGGTGTCATGGCCACCGCAGCCACAGCTGCCCTCTGCTCAGAGCCGCGGCTGCCGTGAAGGACACGTGACCAATCGATGGTGTGACTGAACAAGCGGCTCGGTCTGCAGCGGGAGCAGAGATGAGTGCCTTTGTCTGATAAGAACATCATCCGTGTCTGAGCTGCCTTGTTTTGAAGGCTCCACTCTGCCCCACGTGGGTATTCTCTATGCCTTTAAGATGTCTTGGCCAATCAGAACACAGTGCACTTTCTCCTCAGATCCTCATTGGTCACACGCCCTGCTGCCTGTCATTCCTAGAGCAGAGCTGTCCATCAACACCACGAGGGTCACGCGCTGACAAACGCCGCTGCTCCGCGGTCGGTGCTCGGTCTGTGCTCGGTCTGTGCCCGTGAATAGAGCGGAATAGCTTCTTAATTAGCTCCGAATGCTTTTCCCTGCAGTTCTAACACTGTTAGCACCACGTGGTAATGAGAGCCTACATTAAACAAAGGAACAGAGGAAGCACCAGTTGTAACATTACAACCTCTAACCACAGCCTCCCCCTCAAAGGTCACATGACCCTCTGCTGCTGCATCAGGTCTGATGAAGTGACTGATGTCACGTGATGCTTGTGTTCAAAACCAAAGTGTTGGTTTGGTTCTCTGTAAAACTAACTCTAAGCAGATCTTTGCCGTCTCTCCTCATGAGAACTGTGTCCGCAGCTAATGTGAAGCAGAGAACTCTGTGTTTATTTACACGGAAACAAGTGAAATGAAGGGCCCCGGGCCCCGGGGCCACACTGCTGTTTGCAGAGTCTCACACAGGAGGATTGTCCTGCAGCAGGACCAGCTCCAGGTCACTTCCAACTGAGCAAATATTGGTCCTGATTGTTCAGATTAAACCCGGATTGTCTCCGTCTGCTGCACCTCAGGCTCAGTCCACAACAACGGACTGGACCAGGACCGGACCAGGACTGGAACAGGACTGGACCAGGACTGGAACAGGACTGTATGCATATGTACATGTTATTGCATATATGTAATAACATGTGCATTATACTACATATATATAATAACATATATGTTATCTGTAATAACATGTACATTATAACATATATGTTATCTGTAATAACATGTGCATTATTCTACATATATGTAATAATAAGTGGGGTTTGTCTGAGTCTGACACAAACGTCTCTGATCCAAAGGAAATGACTTGGACACAGAGGCTCAATGTTAGATTTGATCTCATGTATTTCCTTTCAGAGCTGCAGCCACTTGTTTCCAGATTGCCCCCAGGGCAGACGTGTTCCATTGTCTCCAAACTCTGTTTTTCTGAAATCTCAGAGAAAGGGTTACCCTTTGATGCTTTGTTTGTACATTCCATCGTTTTATTCGTTTTATTCAACATGTGTTCAACCAAGAGCAGAGTTCCAGACTGAGGTGTTTTCTCACCGCCGACGCTGGAACGCTGAAGCCTCACGCACCATTCTCTAGTTTTCAGACGCAGGGGTCTTCAGACCAAAGTCCTGCTGCGGTGGCGTCCGGCGGAAGTAGCCGGCGAGCTTTAATGCTAACGGAGTTAAGCTAGCGGCTTTTTGTGTAAAGTTCTTCTCCAATAATGCAGCTGCAGCGTCTCTGTGTCTGAGACCTTCACAGACTTTATATAACAGCAGTATGTGTTCACGGAGGTGACTTTATATAACAGCAGTATGTGTTCACGGAGGTGACTTTATATAACAGCAGTATGTGTTCACGGAGGTGACTTTATATAACAGCAGTATGTGTTCACGGAGGTGACTTTATATAACAGCAGTATGTGTTCACGGAGGTGACTTTATATAACAGCAGTATGTGTTCACGGTGACTTTATATAACAGCAGTATGTGTTCACGGAGGTGACTTTATATAACAGCAGTATGTGTTCACGGTGACTTTATATAACAGCATTATGTGTTCACGGAGGTGCGCAATAAGTTTATTTTATTATTAAACGGTATTTCCGCATCGGCGAACACACTTGAAGCAGTTGTATACAGTCACGGGAGCATGAAAACTCATATGTTCACAAGCACAGAGTCACACATTGTCAACCCTGGTTTAGTCCTGGTTTAGTCCTGGTTTAGTCCTGGTTTAGTCCTGGTGTAGCTCCTGTTTTAGCTGTTAACGAGTATGTTCAGTCTGCTCGCTCAGACCACTAATGTCCCTGTGACCAGCTCTCTGATTGGTCGCTGCACGAGCGTCCCGAGGAAAGGTTCGGCAAAATTCATCTCCTGCATGCAATGATTTTCCGCTCCTGCTCCTCCCCTTCGACTTCCCAGTGCAGTCCGTGCGTGCGTTCAGAGACGCTCGTGCGTTTTGATGCTCGAACGCGCGTCACCATTGACATTGAAAGCTGACGCAACGCATGGTCCGGTCTGAACGCGGCATAAGAGTCCTGCTGCTGCTGCTGCTACTGAAGGTAACCCCAGAGTGAAGACAACCCCAGAGTGAAGACAACCCCAGAGTGAAGGCAACCCCAGAGTGAAGGCAACCCCAGAGTGAAGGCAACCCCAGAGTGAAGACAACCCCAGAGTGAAGGCAACGACAGAGTGAAGGCAACGACAGAGTGAAGGCAACCACAGAGTGAAGGCAACCCCAGAGTGAAGGCAACCACAGAGTGAAGGCAACCCCAGAGTGAAGGCAACGACAGAGTGAAGGCAACCCCATTAGTGAAGGCAACCCCATTAGTGAAGGCAACCCCATTAGTGAAGGCAACCCCAGAGTGAAGGCAACCCCAAAGTGAAGGCAACCCCAAAGTGAAGGCATCCCCAAAGTGAAGGCAACCCCAGAGTGAAGGTAACGACAGAGTGAAGGCAACGACAGAGTGAAGGCAACCCCAGAGTGAAGGCAACGACAGAGTGAAGACAACCCCAGAGTGAAGGCAACCCCAGAGAGTGAAGGCAACTCCAGAGTGAAGGCAACCACAGAGTGAAGGCAACCACAGAGTAAAAGCAACCACAGAGTGAAGGCAACCACAGAGTGAAAGCAACCACAGAGTGAAGGCAACCACAGAGTGAAGGCAACCACAGAGTGAAGGCAACCACAGAGTGAAGGCAACCACAGAGTGAAAGCAACCCCAGAGTGAAGCCAACCCCAAAGTGAAGGCAACCACAGAGTGAAGGCAACCACAGAGTGAAAGCAACCACAGAGTGAAGGCAACCACAGAGTGAAAGCAACTCCAGAGAGAAGGCAACCCCAGAGTGAAGGCAACCCCAGAGTGAAGACAACCCCAGAGTGAAGGCAACCCCAGAGTGAAGGCAACCCCAGAGTGAAGGCAACCCCAGAGTGAAGGCAACCCCAGAGTGAAAGGCAACCCCAGAGTGAAGGCAACCCCATTAGTGAAGGCAACCACAGAGTGAAGACAACCCCAGAGTGAAGGCAACCCCAGAGTGAAGGTAACGACAGAGTGAAGACAACCCCAGAGTGAAGGCAACGACAGAGTGAAGGCAACGACAGAGTGAAGGCAACCCCAGAGTGAAGGCAACGACAGAGTGAAGACAACCCCAGAGTGAAGGCAACCCCAGAGTGAAGGCAACCACAGAGTGAAGGCAACCCCAGAGTGAAGGCAACCCCAGAGTGAAGGTAACGACAGAGTGAAGACAACCCCAGAGTGAAGGCAACGACAGAGTGAAGGCAACGACAGAGTGAAGGCAACCCCAGAGTGAAGGCAACGACAGAGTGAAGACAACCCCAGAGTGAAGGCAACCCCAGAGAGTGAAGGCAACTCCAGAGTGAAGGCAACCACAGAGTGAAGGCAACCACAGAGTAAAAGCAACCACAGAGTGAAGGCAACCACAGAGTGAAAGCAACCACAGAGTGAAAGCAACCACAGAGTGAAGGCAACCACAGAGTGAAGGCAACCACAGAGTGAAGGCAACCACAGAGTGAAAGCAACCCCAGAGTGAAGCCAACCCCAAAGTGAAGGCAACCACAGAGTGAAGGCAACCACAGAGTGAAAGCAACCACAGAGTGAAGGCAACCACAGAGTGAAAGCAACTCCAGAGAGAAGGCAACCCCAGAGTGAAGGCAACCCCAGAGTGAAGACAACCCCAGAGTGAAGGCAACCCCAGAGTGAAGGCAACCCCAGAGTGAAGGCAACCCCAGAGTGAAGGCAACCCCAGAGTGAAGGCAACCCCAGAGTGAAGGCAACCCCATTAGTGAAGGCAACCACAGAGTGAAGACAACCCCAGAGTGAAGGCAACCCCAGAGTGAAGGCAACCCCAGAGTGAAGACAACCACAGAGTGAAGTGAAGGCAACCCCAGAGTGAAGGCAACCCCAGAGTGAAGGCAACCCCAGAGTGAAGACAACTCCAGAGTGAAGGCAACCCCAGAGTGAAGGCAACCCCAGAGTGAAGACAACTCCAGAGTGAAGGCAACCCCAGAGTGAAGGCAACCCCAGAGTGAAGCCAACCCCAAAGTGAAGGCAACCACAGAGTGAAGGCAACCACAGAGTGAAAGCAACCACAGAGTGAAGGCAACCACAGAGTGAAAGCAACTCCAGAGAGAAGGCAACCCCAGAGTGAAGGCAACCCCAGAGTGAAGACAACCCCAGAGTGAAGGCAACCCCAGAGTGAAGGCAACCCCAGAGTGAAGGCAACCCCAGAGTGAAGGCAACCCCAGAGTGAAGGCAACCCCAGAGTGAAGGCAACCCCAGAGTGAAGGCAACCCCATTAGTGAAGGCAACCACAGAGTGAAGACAACCCCAGAGTGAAGGCAACCCCAGAGTGAAGGCAACCCCAGAGTGAAGACAACCACAGAGTGAAGTGAAGGCAACCCCAGAGTGAAGGCAACCCCAGAGTGAAGGCAACCCCAGAGTGAAGACAACTCCAGAGTGAAGGCAACCCCAGAGTGAAGGCAACCCCAGAGTGAAGACAACTCCAGAGTGAAGGCAACCCCAGAGTGAAGGCAACCCCAGAGTGAAGACAACCACAGAGTGAAGACAACCACAGAGTGAAGGCAACCACAGAGTGAAGACAACCACAGAGTGAAGGCAACCCCAGAGTGAAGGCAACCCCAGAGTGAAGGCAACCCCAGAGTGAAGGCAACCCCAGAGTGAAGGCAACCCCAGAGTGAAGGCAACCCCAGAGTGAAGACAACCCCAGAGTGAAGGCAACCCCAGAGTGAAGGCAACCCCAGAGTGAAGACAACCCCAGAGTGAAGGCAACCCCAGAGTGAAGGCAACCCCAGGGTGAAGGTAACCACAGAGTGAAGACAACCCCAGAGTGAAGGCAACCCCAGAGTGAAGACAACTCCAGAGTGAAGACAACCCCAGAGTGAAGGCAACCACAGAGTGAAGGCAACCCCAGAGTGAAGGCAACCCCAAAGTGAAGGCAACGACAGAGTGAAGGCAACCACAGAGTGAAGGCAACCCCAGAGTGAAGGCAACCACAGAGTGAAGGCAACCCCAGAGTGAAGGCAACCACAGAGTGAAGGCAACCCCATTAGTGAAGGCAACCCCATTAGTGAAGGCAACCCCATTAGTGAAGGCAACCCCAGAGTGAAGGCAACCCCAAAGTGAAGGCAACCCCAAAGTGAAGGCATCCCCAAAGTGAAGGCAACCCCAGAGTGAAGGTAACGACAGAGTGAAGACAACCCCAGAGTGAAGGCAACCCCATTAGTGAAGGCAACCCCATTAGTGAAGGCAACCCCAGAGTGAAGGCAACCCCAAAGTGAAGGCAACCCCAAAGTGAAGGCATCCCCAAAGTGAAGGCAACCCCAGAGTGAAGGCAACGACAGAGTGAAGGCAACGACAGAGTGAAGGCAACCCCAGAGTGAAGGCAACGACAGAGTGAAGGCAACCCCAGAGTGAAGGCAACCACAGAGTGAAGGCAACCCCAGAGTGAAGACAACCCCAGAGTGAAGGCAACTCCAGAGTGAAGGCAACCCCAGAGTGAAGGCAACGACAGAGTGAAGACAACCCCAGAGTGAAGGCAACGACAGAGTGAAGACAACCCCAGAGTGAAGGCAACCCCAGAGAGTGAAGGCAACTCCAGAGTGAAGGCAACCCCAGAGTGAAGGCAACCCCAGAGTGAAGACAACCCCAGAGTGAAGGCAACCCCAGAGTGAAGGCAACCCCAGCGAAGGCAACCCCAGAGTGAAGGCAACCACAGAGTGAAGGCAACCACAGAGTAAAAGCAACCACAGAGTGAAGGCAACCACAGAGTGAAAGCAACCACAGAGTGAAAGCAACCACAGAGTGAAGGCAACCACAGAGTGAAGGCAACCACAGAGTGAAGGCAACCACAGAGTGAAGGCAACCACAGAGTGAAAGCAACCCCAGAGTGAAGGCAACCCCAGAGTGAAGCCAACCCCAAAGTGAAGGCAACCACAGAGTGAAGGCAACCACAGAGTGAAAGCAACCACAGAGTGAAGGCAACCACAGAGTGAAAGCAACTCCAGAGAGAAGGCAACCCCAGAGTGAAGGCAACCCCAGAGTGAAGACAACCCCAGAGTGAAGGCAACCCCAGAGTGAAGGCAACCCCAGAGTGAAGGCAACCCCAGAGTGAAGGCAACCCCAGAGTGAAGGCAACCCCAGAGTGAAGGCAACCCCAGAGTGAAGGCAACCCCAGAGTGAAGACAACCCCAGAGTGAAGGCAACCCCAGAGCGAAGGCAACCCCAGAGTGAAGGCAACCCCATTAGTGAAGACAACCACAGAGTGAAGGCACCCCCAGAGTGAAGGCAACCCCAGAGTGAAGACAACCACAGAGTGAAGTGAAGGCAACCCCAGAGTGAAGGCAACCCCAGAGTGAAGGCAACCCCAGAGTGAAGACAACTCCAGAGTGAAGGCAACCCCAGAGTGAAGGCAACCCCAGAGTGAAGACAACCCCAGAGTGAAGGCAACCCCAGAGTGAAGGCAACCCCAGAGTGAAGACAACCACAGAGTGAAGTGAAGGCAACCCCAGAGTGAAGGCAACCCCAGAGTGAAGGCAACCCCAGAGTGAAGACAACTCCAGAGTGAAGGCAACCCCAGAGTGAAGGCAACCCCAGAGTGAAGACAACTCCAGAGTGAAGGCAACCCCAGAGTGAAGGCAACCCCAGAGTGAAGACAACCACAGAGTGAAGACAACCACAGAGTGAAGGCAACCACAGAGTGAAGACAACCACAGAGTGAAGGCAACCCCAGAGTGAAGGCAACCCCAGAGTGAAGGCAACCCCAGAGTGAAGGCAACCCCAGAGTGAAGGCAACCCCAGAGTGAAGGCAACCCCAGAGTGAAGGCAACACCAGAGTGAAGGCAACCCCAGAGTGAAGGCAACCCCAGAGTGAAGTCAACCCCAGAGTGAAGGCAACCCCAGAGTGAAGGCAACCCCAGGGTGAAGGTAACCACAGAGTGAAGACAACCCCAGAGTGAAGGCAACCACAGAGTGAAGGCAACTCCAGAGTGAAGGCAACTCCAGAGTGAAGGCAACCACAGAGTGAAGGCAACTCCAGAGTGAAGGCAACCCCAGAGTGAAGGCAACCCCAGAGTGAAGACAACCACAGAGTGAAGACAACCACAGAGTGAAGGCAACTCCAGAGTGAAGGCAACTCCAGAGTGAAGGCAACCCCAGAGTGAAGGCAACCCCAGAGTGAAGGCAACCCCAGAGTGAAGGCAACTCCAGAGTGAAGGCAACTCCAGAGTGAAGGCAACCCCAGAGTGAAGGCAACCCCAGAGTGAAGGCAACCCCAGAGTGAAGGCAACTCCAGAGTGAAGACAACCCCAGAGTGAAGGCAACTCCAGAGTGAAGACAACCCCAGAGTGAAGGCAACCACAGAGTGAAGGCAACCCCAGAGTGAAGGCAACCACAGAGTGAAGGCAACCCCAGAGTGAAGGCAACCCCAGAGTGAAGGCAACCCCAGAGTGAAGGCAACCACAGAGTGAAGGCAACCACAGAGTGAAGGCAACCCCAAAGTGAAGGCAACCCCAGAGTGACAGTAGTCGTGTGGACGTGTCATGGCTTCGCTGAAATGTTAGACTGTGGTAAAAACATTATTTATTCAAGATGTGGTTGGGCGTTCTATGATTATTCTTAATGAGTCGTTCAGAGATGACACAGCTTTAAGTTTCTCATTCACACTCAGTTTAGTTGACATTTTCAGTAAAACCACATTGGAATACATGTGCAAGAGTCACCAGTGTAAACATGACAAATATATATGACAGAACAAGAAAGAGTACAAGAAATAATTGTCAGGGTTCTCTGGTGTCTCTATCTCTCAACTCTCTCTGGTCTCATGGTGTCTCTCTGGTCTCTCTCTCTCTCTCTCTGCTCTCTCTCTCTAGTCTCTCTCTGGTCACTCTCTGGTCTCTCTCTCTGCTCTCTCTCTCTGGTCTCTCTCTGGTCTCTCTCTAGTCTCTCTCTGGTCTCTCTCTGGTCTCTCTCTAGTCTTTCTATGGTCTCTCTCTCTGGTCTCTCTAGTCTCTCTCTGGTCTCTCTCTGGTCACTCTCTGGTCTCTCTCTGCTCTCTCTCTCTGGTCTCTCTCTGGTCTCTCTCTAGTCTCTCTCTGGTCTCTCTCTGGTCTCTCTCTGGTCTCTCTCTAGTCTATCTCTGGTCTCTCTCTGGTCACTCTCTGGTCTCTCTCTGCTCTCTCTCTCTGGTCTCTCTCTAGTCTTTCTATGGTCTCTCTGTCTGGTCTCTCTCTAGTCTTTCTCTGGTCTCTCTCTGGTCTCTCTTCTTTCTCTCTCTCTGGTCTCTCTCTGGTCTCTTTTCTCTCTCTCTCTGGTCTCTCTTCTCTCTCTCTCTGGTCTCTCTCTGGTCTCTCTCTGGTCTCTCTCCTCACCAACAACCATGAAAAAAACATTGTTTTGCAGGAGGATTGACCCAGTCCTGCACAGACACGGAAACAGAATAAATTATGTATTTTATATAGATCCTCATCCATTTGCAATTTATCACAAGGCCTCGGAGATAATCGAGACAACCTCCCAGAATGCAAATGGAATAATAATCAGACTGGGCCACTGTTTCGCATATGCTCACACAAAAAAACATTACATTGTTAGTCACTGCTAATAGAGGAAACCTTGTGACCTATTTTATCTTGGAAAGCAATTTGTCCCTTCAAAAATAAAACTAATAGGTTTGAAGATGAATGGATGTGAGTGGGCTGCAGCGCCGGCGCCACCAGCCTCTATATCACCAGATTATTAGTTTTATGAGCCAAGCCCACGGGAGAATAATTGCTAATGTTCCCGGAGTAACCAAGGGAAATAAAAGTAATGGAGCAATTTATAAATCCTGATTGGTGTACACAGCGAGCCGCGCCCTCCCCTCTGTTTTTATGGCACTAAATGAAACCCACCCAAGCCACAAACATGGTCCCGGCCTCAGAGGTGGAGACGCAAACACACGCTCTCTCAATACTTACAAATATTGGACTTTTGGAGTCGTTTGAGAAATAATCTTTGAAAATGATTCTTTCTCTTGAATATCTGGATGGAGTGTTTGTCCTCTGCGTCCTGCCTCAGATACAGGCTAAAACTGATGTGACAAAGTGGGTTACTTAGAACATTAAACTTCTAATAAAGAGTTGGACTAAGGTTTTAGAGTACATTTAATGCAATTGTTAATCTGAGAAAATAGATGATGATGTTTAACAGGCCATGGTGGTCCGTTACATCAGAACTGCAAGTCAATATTGATCCTTAAATCATGTTAGGGGCCAATAAGAACAGTCTTGTGGACCGGATTTGGCCCACGGGCCTGGGGTTGACATGTCTGTATTACACCATGAGAACTTCAAAGCTGTTTTAAGATTCTAATGTGGCTCTCTCACTACAAAGTTTGGGCACCCCTGCTCTATACTCCATTACAGCTGTAGTGTCTTGGCAGCCATTTTGTGTCTGGAGTCAGAGTTTGTGGGAGGAGCCAACCAGGTTAAAGGTGGATCTGCAGAGTAACAGTGTCGGTTCAGCAGCAGATGTTTTTAAACTACATTTGTACTTTGTGAGTCTGACTCTGGAGCCTCGGGACAGTTAAAGTTAAAGCCACAGTCGTCACAAACTGACACAGATGTAGAGAGTGATCGCTGTGACTCTAAACGACTGAGCACAGTTTGATCGTGGAGGAGACATTTGTATTGTGCTGATTCTGGAAGTGAGAGGTCGTTCTTACAGTTTTTAAAAATCATTTTTGGACTACACAAAGTACCTGGTAATGGTTAAACAGAGCTGGGAAAGCTTCCAATCAGGGTAGAGTAGAGTAGGGTAGAGTAGGGGGTAGGGTAGGGTAGGGTAGGGTAGGGTAGGGTAGGGTAGGGTAGGGTAGGGTAGGGTAGAGTAGAGTAGAGTAGAGTAGAGTAGAGTAGAGTAGAGTAGAGTAGAGTAGAGTAGGGTAGAATAGGATAGAGTAGAGTAGGGTAGAGTAGAGTAGAGTAGGGTAGAGTAGGGTAGAGTAGGGTAGAGTAGAGTAGGGTAGAGTAGAGTAGAGTAGGGTAGAGTAGAGTAGAGTAGAGTAGAGTAGAGTAGGGTAGAGTAGAGTAGAGTAGAGTAGAGTAGAGTAGAGTAGGGTAGAGTAGAGTAGAGTAGGGTAGAGTAGAGTAGAGTAGAGTAGAGTAGAGTAGGGTAGGGTAGGGTAGAGTAGAGTAGGGTAGGGTAGGGTAGAGTAGAGTAGAGTAGGGTAGAGTAGAGTAGAGTAGAGTAGCGTAGAGTAGGGTAGAGTAGAGTAGAGTAGAGTAGGGTACAGTAGGGTAGAGTAGAGTAGAGTAGAGTAGAGTAGAAACTTAGCCTTGCCTAATGTAGTAATGTAATATCATACTAATGGTTTCTGAAACGTGACATCACAGTAACAGGAGCATCATCCAGAGGTCAGAGGTCAAAGCGGCTTCATCTCTTTCACATCTTGGGCCTGAGGTCTGTCCCGGGGGCGAGTGGGGGCCGGTCCGGGGGCCAGGGCGGGGGGCGGGCCAGGATATTGATCAGAGGGACTATTACAGGCCTGAGCCGTAGATCACTGTCTCGGCACCATAAAGGCCTCCCACACCTTAACTACCATCGATCCCACACACAGCCTGTCTCTGGGGGAGGGTCTCTCTGCTGTTGTCACGGTGACCGATGTCCTGCTCTCTCCTGCTCTCTCCTGCTGTAATGAGGCTCCTCGGACAGGCCCCAGACAAATGACAGAGAGCAGTCAAAAAGGCGGCTCCGGTCGTGCAGAGGTCGCTCTGTTAGTGCAGGTGTCAGAGCGGTACGTCATCAGTCAGCCCCGGGGCAGCTGCGACAGGGTTATCTGTGAGGGAGGGGCCCCAGGAGGGAGGGGCCCCAGGAGGGAGGGGCCCCGGAGGGAGGCTGCAGGACGTCACTTGTATTTGTGAAGAAACAGTTTGAGGCGAGAGCGACATCGACAAATACAGAGAAAAGTGTTTAGTGAAAATAAAGAGTCTGACCTCAATGTTCTGTCTTTATCTCACATGTCATAATCTGTATTCATGGGGAAGACGGCTCCTCAGATGGCGCTTCCTCAGCTGGCTACTCCTGTACAGTCTATTTTTATTTTTGTTTAACCATGTGTGCGTATGTATGTATGTGTGTGTGCGTATGTCTCTGTGTGTGTATGTGTGTCTGTGTGTGTATGTGAGTCTGCGTGCGTATGTCTGTGTCTGTGTGCGTATGTCTGTGTGTGTATGTCTGTGTGTGTGCGTGTGTCTGTGTGTGTATGTCTGTGTGTGAGTCTGTGTGCGTATGTCTGTGTGTGTGCGTGTGTCTGTGTGTGTATGTCTGTGTGTGTGTATGTGTGTCTGTGTGCGTATGTCTGTGTCTGTGTGCGTATGTCTGTGTGTGTATGTCTGTGTGTGTGCGTGTGTCTGTGTGTGTATGTCTGTGTGTGTGCGTGTCTGTGTGCGTATGTCTGTGTGTGTATGTGTGTCTGTGTGCATGTCTGTGTGTGTGTGTGTGTCTGTGTGTGTATGTGAGTGTATGTCTGTGTGCGTATGTCTGTGTGTGTATGTCTGTGTGTGTGTCTGTGTGCATACTGTATGTCTGTGTGTGTGTCTGTGTGCATACTGTATGTCTGTGTGTGCGTATCTCTGTGTGTGTATGTGTGCGTACCGTATGTCTGTGTGTGTGTTCTGTTGGGTTGTGTGTGTTACATGGTTTTCCTAATAAACTTAAAGTATATTTGATATAACTTTCTTCACATCGTTCTATTGTTTTTATTTGATAATGAGCTTCCTCAGCTTTGATCCAGTCTCAGAGGACTTTACAAAACTGTCGATTCGCCAACAACAGATCAGAGAATCAAGCAGTTCAACCACAGAGTCATGGTCCATAGGGACAGAGACCAGAGTCCATAAATGTGGTTGAGTGAGGACATGAGTCTATTTAGTATCCGCCCTTATGTATTTGTCACTATGCAATGACACGAGCCTGGTCCAGACCCCCCTTAGACCCCCCACAGACCCCCCTCCGACCACAGACTCGCAGGTCAGTGGGTGAGTCCCTGATGAGGGTTTAATGGTCTCGGGGCTGGTGATGGTGCAGTCGATGGTGCTGAGGCAGTGTGCGATAGTCTGCGATACACACAGATTAGCAGCGCGGCGCAGGATGAAAGCGTCAGGATCGATAGGACACAGCGGAGAATCGATATCTGCATCTACTCCCAGCTCTCATCAGGACAGAGCCGGGGGCCGGGGGTCGGTCTGCGGGGGCCGGGGGTCGGTCTGTGGCGGCGCGCTCATGGAACACGCCGCAGCATCACGTGTTAATGAATATAAATGAACTGTTGATCAGAAACCTCCTCATGCGGGAACCCAGAGACCAGGAACCTTGGACTAGACTTCAGGGGCACAAGGGGAAAGGAGAGGAGGAGGACGAGCCAGGAGAGGGGTCTATACATGTACGTATACTAGGACAGAGGTATATACACGTACTTATACTACAGAGGAGCCAGATATATACATGTCCTTATACATGTACTTGTACTCTGACAGAGGAGCCCGGGGGGAAGGAAAGTCTAAACTCTAAGTCTAGAACTGAAGTCTAAAGTCCGCTGTTGCTTTGTCTTCGTCCCTGGTTCATAAAGGTCCTGGACCCAACAGACCCAGGACTCAGGTCTCAGTCGGTCTCGGTCTGATTGTATTTGCTGAGGTTAAAGTAAAGCAGCTTATCTTAACCCCAGTCACACTTGTGCAGATGCCAGACTGATTTACTTTTACCTCCAGATCAAAGTTCAGACTTAAACCTTCGACCTGTAAACACAAATAAACAAATATATCAGTGACGGAACTGTTAACTTTGTAACTCACACCTTCACAAGTCTGAGCCATGTCTCCACATGGTCCTGCTTCTGCTCGACACAGTCTGAGCCATGTCTCCACATGGTCCTGCTTCTGCTCGACACAGTCTGAGCCATGTCTCCACATGGTCCTGCTTCTGCTCGACACAGTCTGAGCCATGTCTCCACACGGTCCTGCTCCTGCTCGACACAGTCTGAGCCATGTCTCCACATGGTCCTGCTCCTGCTCGACACAGTCTGCGTCCAAACTGATCCAATTAACGTCCGGACTAATGTCATTATCCACGGAGTCTGCAGCTGTGTCGCCAGGATCAGGCACCATCGCACAGGTACCATCAGAGGCACCATCGCACAGGCACCATCAGAGGCACCATTGCACAGGCACCATCAGAGGCACCATCAGAGGCACCATCGCACAGGCACCATCAGAGGCACCATCGCACAGGCACCATCGTACAGGCACCATCGTACAGGCACCATCGCACAGGCACCATCAGAGGCACCATCAGAGGCACCATCGCACAGGCACCATCAGAGGCACCATTGCACAGGCACCATCAGAGGCACCATCGCACAGGCACCATCGCACAGGCACCATCAGAGGCACCATTGCACAGGCACCATCGCACAGGTACCATCGCACAGGCACCATCAGAGGCACCATTGCACAGGCACCATCAGAGGCACCATCGCACAGGCACCATCGCACAGGCACCATTGCACAGGCACCATCAGAGGCACCATCGCACAGGCACCATCGCACAGGCACCATTGCACAGGCACCATCAGAGGCACCATCGCACAGGCACCATCGCACACAGGCACCATCAGAGGCACCATCGCACAGGCACCATCAGAGGCACCATCGCACAGGCACCATCGCACACAGGCACCATCAGAGGCACCATCGCACAGGCACCATCATAGACACCATCGCACACAGGCACCATCAGAGGCACCATCGCACAGGCACCATCAGAGGCACCATCGCAAAGGCACCATCGCACAGGCACCAGTCACAGGCACCATCAGAGGCACCATCGCGCACAGGCACCATCGCACAGAAACCATCAGAGGCACCATCGCACAGGCACCATCGCACAGGCACCATCGCACAGGCACCATCGCACAGGCACCATCAGAGGCACCATCGCACAGGCACCATCGCACAGGCACCATCACACAGGCACCATCAGAGGCACCATCGCACAGGCACCATCGCACAGGCACCATCAGAGGCACCATCGCACAGGCACCATCGCACAGGCACCATCAGAGGCACCATCAGAGGCACCATCAGAGGCACCATTGCACAGGCACCATCAGAGGCACCATCGCACAGGCACCATCGTACAGGCACCATCGTACAGGCACCATCGCACAGGCACCATCGCACAGGCACCATTGCACAGGCACCATCAGAGGCACCATCTCACAGGCACCATCAGAGGCACCATCGCACAAGCACCATCGCACAAGCACCATCGCACAGGTACCATAAAACTCATTGACTGTCATTGACGTATTTGTCTGAGACCGTATTTGTCAAACTTCCGTCTCTTCGACCGGGGATTACAGGAGAACAAAACTATCTAGAAACAAACTTATTTTTGCCGGTGAAAGTAGACAGCCCAGTCTTTCAGAATCTGGTTTTATATTTCACATCGTCATAGCACATAATATTCTGTGGGTCTTGAGAATCAGTGAAATCATCAAAAACGGCAGCAGTCGATCTGCTGCTGCCGGAGGTCTCCCATCACAGCACTGATCAGGCCCTGCATTATCAGTCAGCTATAACACAAAAACATTTAATTACATTTAAAGTCATGAAGTTAATGTGTTGTGAATGTAACTTCTGGAAAAACGTCTTCAAACGGTTTTGAGTCAGACAATGATGTAATTATGTCAATGTCAACTTTATTTGTATAGTAAGGAAGTAATGTTTATTTATATGGCGCCTTTCACAGACCAGTCACAGCGGTTTATAATTGTTACATTAGTCTCTCACTCCACACAGAGATGGGAGCGGGGCCAGTACAGGAGGCACAGAACTATTGCACAAGTTTTTAGTGGTAGGGGAAACCAGAGCCCCCGGAGGAAACCTACACAGACACAGGGAGAACATGCAAACTCCACTCAGAAAGGCCCTGTTTCGACCCGGATTCGAGAAGCTTCTTGCTGAGAAGCGAGAGGGCTAACCACTCAGCCACCGTGCCGCTAAAAAGGTAAAATTGGTGCGGCTCTGATGAACGGAGACTTATGTGAATGTGACAAGGTCCTGAAGAGGCTAAGATCCTTTTTCTTTACTGCTGCGGTGGAGACTTTCACTGCTTTACTGTCATTAGAAACTAAAGCTTTGTAAACATTATAACTCTTCTATCACACATTTACAGACCCACGCAGCACGGTTTAACCACAGAAGAAAGAAAATACTAATATTACACCATTTAAACTCATTTTGCTGCGGACCCTGGAGCCAGATTTGAACAAAACCAGGAGCTAAAACCTACACTGGCTCTCGGCAAAAACCACTTCAATATTTGATGCTATTTTGTTCTGTTTTAAAGTGCGGCTGATGAGGCTAATGAAGCTGCCAAACACGGAAACAAAGAGAGCACTGTTCATTAGCACGTGCTCTAAGCCGCTCTTAATCATCTAACAGTCAATTAGCACTGTTAGCATTTGCGGTGGGTGTGTAAATAAACGGCTGGGTTAATTTCTTCCTGATACAAAAGGGAATTATGAAAATGAGCTCCGTGGCTGCAGCAGTAAATGATCTATGTGGATAATTGTGCTGTAGTAAAAGCTGTTAGAGGAATGAGACGGCAGCGATGTTTGCCCCGAGGGACTCCCGCCAAAATATAATGACATCCGCAGCCTCTGGCACCAGGAGAGAGACAGCAGCCGGCAGAGGGCCAGAGGGTGAGGGAGGGGTGAGGGAGGGGGTGAGGGAGGGAGGACATGTGGTACATACAAAAAATAGGGATTTAGCTGTCAAGGTGTAAAAATGAAATGAACCCAAAACACAGAATTGCAAAGACCACAGTGCCCATTCTTTTTCGCAGTGCACAGTGTCATCAGGTGGTTAGCCAGGACCTGTCTGTGTTTACATGTTAACTATGTGTCAGCGTAGGTTTCCTCCAGGTGCTCCGGTTTCCGTATGATAGGTCTGGGATGTGCCACCTGGAGTCGATCTGCTCCATCTCGGTGTGGAGAGAGAGACTAATGCCCACAATTGTAAACCGCTTTGTGACTGTCGTCTGTGAAAGGCGCTTTACAAATATACATTACTTATTTACTTGCAAACTTGGGACAAAAAGAAGAACTTGGAGACGTGGAATTCACCATGACAGAACCACGGGTGAAGGAAAGGCACAAGACTAACAACACAGGTCACACAAACAGGAAGTAGAACTCAGGGAGAAACAGGGGTCGACCAATCCCAAAAACAAACCTGAACAATGACATTAACGCGTTTAAAATGATAAATGGTGAAACGGAGCTGAGACTGTGAGATGTCAGTCCCCCCTAGTTACATGAATGAGCGTGTTAGTCACATGGTTAGTCACATGGTTAGTCACATGGTTGGTCAGCTGCTGCAGAGGAGAGGCTAAAATGGCAGCCATGTTGTTAGCATGTCGGGGTAGCTTACTAAAGACACGTGTCGTTTGCATAAGAGCAAATTCATTTCTTCACGGTCATAGAAGTCATACACATCTAATTTCTAAAGCTTGTCCCTTCTGTCAGTGTGCCCCAGGGCAGCTGTGGCTACAGTAGTTTATAACCACTGTGTTTGGAGAGAATGAAGCACTTTAAATACTTGCTTAAGACGCACCTTTTCTCTTTGGCTTTTGATACCAGGAAGTTTTATCTGTATTAATATGTATATTTTCTGTATTATATGTGTTTGTATAGTTCTGTTTTGTCCGTACAGAACTTTGATAAACCTGGGCAGTTGTAAATGTGTTTTACAATAAACATTGATTGTCTTTGAGCGTCCACAAAGCGCTGTCTAAAACCAATGCTTTATTAATATTATATTTACAGATGTAGAAATGTGTCTTATTGATCCACACCTATAGCACGCGTACACAGCCGCCCCTGATGTGTGAGTACATACACAGCCGCCCCTGATGTGTGAGTACATACACAGCCGCCCCTGATGTGTGAGTACATACACAGCCGCCCCTGATGTGCACTTTCGTACACAGCCACCCCTGATGTGTGCATGCGTACACAGCCGCCCCTGATGTGCACATTCGTATACAGCCACCCTGATGTGTGTACGTACACAGCCGTCCTGATGTGTGCGTACATACACAGCTGCCCCTGATATGTGAGTACATACACAGCCGCCCTGATGTGTGCGTACGTATACAGCCGCCCCTGATGTGTGCGTACATACACAGCTGCCCCTGATGTGTGCGTACATACACAGCCGCCCTGATGTGTGCGTACATACACAACCACCCTGATGTGTGCGTACAAGCACAGCTGCCCTCGATGTGCGCATACATACACAGCCGCCCTGATGTGCGCATACATACACAGCCACCCTGATGTGTGCACACATACACAGCCGCTCCTGATGTATGCATACATACACAGCCGCCCTAATGTGCACACACATACACAGCCGCCCTGATGTGCGCACACATACACAGCCGCCCTGATGTGCGCACACATACACAGCCGCCCCTGATGTGCGCACACATACACAGCCGCTCCTGATGTGCGCACACATACACAGCCGCCCTGATGTGCGCACACATACACAGCCGCCCTGATGTGCGCACACATACACAGCCGCCCTGATGTGCGCACACATACACAGCCGCTCCTGATGTATGCATACATACACAGCCGCCCTAATGTGCACACACATACACAGCCGCCCTGATGTGCGCACACATACACAGCCGCCCTGATGTGCGTACACATACACAGCCGCCCTGATGTGCGCACACATACACAGCCGCTCCTGATGTGCGCACACATACACAGCCGCCCTGATGTGCGCACACCATACACAGGCGCCCTGATGTGCGTACACATACACAGCCGCCCTGATGTGTGCACACATACACAGCCGCTCTGATGTGCGCACACATACACAGCCGCCCTGATGTGCGCACACATACACAGCCGCCCTGATGTGTGCACACATACACAGCCGCTCTGATGTGCGCACACATACACAGCCGCCCTGATGTGCGCACACATACACAGGCGCCCTGATGTGCGTACACATACACAGCCGCCCTGATGTGTGCACACATACACAGCCGCCCTGATGTGCGCACACATACACAGCCGCCCTGATGTGCGCACACATACACAGCCGCCCTGATGTGCGCACACATACACAGCCGCCCTGATGTGCGTACACATACACAGCCGCCCTGATGTGTGCACACATACACAGCCGCTCTGATGTGCGCACACATACACAGCCGCCCTGATGTGCGCACACATACACAGGCGCCCTGATGTGCGTACATATACACAGCCGCCCTGATGTGTGCACACATACACAGCCGCCCTGATGTGCGCACACATACACAGCCGCCCTGATGTGTGCACACATACACAGCCGCTCTGATGTGCGCACACATACACAGCCGCCCTGATGTGCGCACACATACACAGCCGCCCTGATGTGTGCACACATACACAGCCGCCCTGATGTGCGCACACATACACAGCCGCCCTGATGTGTGCACACATACACAGCCGCCCTGATGTGTGCACACATACACAGCCGCTCTGATGTGCGCACACATACACAGCCGCTCTGATGTGCGCACACATACACAGCCGCCCTGATGTGCGCACACATACACAGCCGCCCTGATGTGTGCATACAGCTGCACTAATGTCCCAGTGTCTGTTTTCTGCGGGCCTCTCTCCGCTCTAATAGTCTTGTCATTTCTCATATTGCGCTCCACATGTATTAAATGAGCAATCTTAATGGAAGTCGGCGTCTGCTTTCGAGCATGTCCGTGACTCCTCTCAATCCCTTTCCAATCTCGCTCTCTCCACCGCCGCCGCCGCCATCCACCTGCACCTGCCCGGTCGCCATGGCAACACCGAGAGGGCCCTAATCACGGACTTCAGAGAGAGGAGCACTTCTCGCGGTAAAAAGCTCTCTCGACTGCAGCCGGAGGTCAATGATTAGGTTCAGAAAGTCCACCCCCCTCCCTCCCTCCCTCCCTCCCTCCCTCACCACACCCCCTCACCCCCGCCCCTCCCTCCCTCACTCGCACATAACAAGGTCCCGAACAAGCACCGGCCTGGAGCTCTTCATTACCGCCTCCTCATCAATCCACGAGACCAGGACCAGCGCTGCCAGAGAGCAACAATTAGAATGTATTTAAGAGTCAGTGAGACGCAGACGACAGGTTTGACCAGACCAAGGGCAAAGCGCGGCCCGGGAGCCACACGCGGCCCCATTCACGCTTCTCTGTGGTCCTCAGATCCCCATTTTGGTTAAATGTAAAG